TTTTTCAAACACTCAACCAACCTAAAACCCAGATGTTCTTTTCACTAAGCAAGAACTCTGGAGAAAAAGAAATGCACACCAAATGTTTAGAAATTATTTCTAAAACTAGAAAAAGTGCTACCTACTATTTTTTTCTTTCCCTTTACATTAATCTCAAGACTTCATTTGGTCAAAGTTTTGATTAAATTAAGTAGACATTGTGTCTAGGAGCTAAATGAAGCCAAAAGAGGCCAAACAAATATGTGAGAGCAAACAGAAGCTTTCTTTTAAAAGGTAATCCAGAGTTATATCCCATGTAAACCCTGACATCTCTATGTTCTCAATCATTTATCTACTTTCCTAAAAATAACTTACAACTCGTTGATGACGATATCTGGTACCCAGAGCAAGTCTCTTGCAATTGCAATCCATTCAAGACCACACTCCACTGGGTCCCACGACGTAAATTCATTTTTCCATTCCTGCAATGATAACATGTTTTAATTGAAATAGAAAACTTTTTTTTTTTATCAGCAGAATGCAGCACATTAATATGCTTTTTTCCCCCTTTTTTTCTTAAACTTAAACTCTATTAAAGAACTATACAAGGAAAATACTCACTAGAGTTTCCCATATGAAAGTTGTCAGAACCTGGCTCTTCTCATCCTGAAAATAAAAGCAAACACCTTCTCCATAAGAAACATTTTAACAAAAAATCAAGAAAAGAAAAGAAGTTAAATAGATCCAGTTCTTTAGCAAAATCTACAAATTGTTGACTACCATTCTGAATATATCTAGAGACAAATATATTTCCTACCACTCCCAAAATGCCAAAGAGGGTAAATTCAATTCCAACTCGGGTCGGGACTGAGATATTTATCACAGGTCGAAGAGATTTCAGTTCAAACACCGGCTCAAGGGACCTGAGCAGTGAGGCTGGAGTTGGCTGAGAGCAGTTCAAAACAGCTGAGCTGAATGGAGCTGCCGTGGACAGGAAGAGGAAACCACAAATTAACATTCATATAGACCCTCCGTCCATCAAGTAGTAGAAAAAAACACTATTTCCTAACTGTTAAAATCAACCTCAATGAAATCATAGCTATTTGCAGAGCCATAGCATCTGAATATTTTTTTCCAAAGCTCTTTAAATTTGGGGAATCAACAGCAACAGATATTAAATTGAGTTTTAAATTCCTTTTAAAGAGCATAAAACCAATTTAGTCCCTGGGTCCTGAAGAATGCATCAAAGTATTTACTCACCAAATGGTAATGTGTTCACATGCTACTAACTTATATCCAACATACATACGTAAGTACACAGTGTCACATTTCTAGAATTGTATGTATCAGGGCAGGGTATCATTTCAACAGTTATTTAAATCTTACTTAAGATGCACTAAAGAAAGACTGCTTGTGATGTGGAAAAATAAAAGCTTGGCTGAAACTGAGTTATACAAGCAGGTAAGTAATGGCGAATAATGGAAAAATGGGTCACAAACACCAAGATGATGAAAGAGACCCATGAAGAATCTTCATGTTTTTACTGCAAATGGTGGCTTTGAAAGACAAATTATGATAGGTGATTTTTTTTTCTACATGTTTCTGGCTTCATATTTTGTTTACTTTATAGTCATTACAGTATTTACAGTTTAGAAGAAAAGAAGAAAGATATTAATTGGAACTCAGTAAAGAGCA